ATTTTTCATATTTAAGTGCCCTAAGAACTGTCCTCCTCCCCCACAAAAAGGAGCTTGAAACATCATGTTTTGTGAATTATATTAAAAAGGTTTCCAAGAATCCGGCCAACAATTGCCAGTTCCTCACAAAATAGACCGATAATTATGACATGACATACCTCTTCGCCCCCAGTGGTGAAACGGGAAAGGCTGGATCGTGAGTAATAAAAGTACATATGTAGGACACTTGATAACTATATGCGTGAGACAGTAAGAGATAATCATAAGCCAAAATTTTCAGTACTTAAGCTTGCCCACACAACAATTATTTTTGAGTTACCCTATTTCCATTCCAAATTAAAGGATTTCCTGATCATATGTAACAGCACATTCCTGACTGGCTTTTGACAGTCTCAGGTGAAGGCTCTCGCCTCTCCGGGTTACGCCACGTCGAGGATATTGAGGTGGGGTTTCGATATCCCGTTGTGGTCTTCTTCAGGGCTAGAGTGCACTCTCACACTCTAGTCCTGAAGAGGACCACAACATGGCGTGCGAAACGTTGGCATCAATACCCTCGACGCGTCGTCACCAGGGCAGTCGGCAGATTTCACTAACTGGCTTTCTTGGCGCTCTGTTAATTTTCATGTTTTCACGAAAAATTCAACGAGCTGTATCTCAAAAACTGAATGAGTTTGGATTAAGATTATATCTACCTGATCTCTTACGAGTACTATATAAAATAGAACATTTGATTTTTGGAGGTGGGCTATATGCTCCTCTCCCTGGTTACACCAGTAGGGTAGGCCCGGAGAGGTAGCTCAAGGCATCAACTGATGTCGCTGCAGTGCCTCTGACCGGGAGGGGCTAGGTTCCAGTAACAACGCATTAGTAGCAACACATTAGTAGTAACGCGCAACGATATCTGGGTCGAGTTCTGTCGCTGTCTGCAAGATAATTCTAGCGGTCGGCTGCTCTGAAACGTAGTTTTCCGTGGTTTCTCCGATCAATACCAGGCAAATGCCGGAGCAGTGCCCTAACAAACGGGTGACGGACTGCGCGCAATATTTCCTTCCTCTTCCTTGTCCTATCCTCACCTTAGTTGCCCACAAACTTACACTATCATGCACTACACATGCCAGGAGGCAGATTGGGAGCTTAGAGCTTGTCCCGGCTGGGACGGTGCCCCGCCGGGAGATACCTGGTTGGGAACAAAACCGTTAGCCGACCGTAGATCGGCGCTGGATCTCCCAATTCAGTGGGGGTAGGTCACCGGTACCTCCCGAGGGGAAAATCGTGTACTTCACTTACGGGAATAACGATCTTAGCAGTTGACGTCCTTGGAATACCTAACTATCAATCAATCGAAAGGTTGCGTCAGAGATAGTCATAAGCCATACTCTTGGCGATTTTCACTTTTCTTATTGGTAGAATAGATTTTCACCAGATGTCTCGGAATTCTTGATGGTAACTGATATCCAGCGGCAAATGAATATGTTATAACCCAATATTCTTCTCAACGTCATTGTGAAGGTTATTTATATGATCAGTTCCCAGTTTCAAAATGATCACCTGTAAAGGAGTGATTTCGTGGCTTATGGCTCTCTCTGACGCAACCCTTCAATCAATCAACAACAGGGTAATGTCGCTTACTCGGGAGGGATAGTCGCCAGGCCGACGGGGGCGTAGGAGGCTGGGAGGGCCTCGGGGACCTGCAGGGTATGAGAGGCCTGTGAGGTCTGCAGGGCTTGCGGGCCCGCAGGAGAGCAAGGAGAGAACACATCCTCCGTGTTGTCCAGGTTGAGTCGTACGGGCCGAATGGGCGTCTTTTGACGGGAGACCAGCGGCCTCTGCGGGCTGCCGGCGAAGCATTTCGTCTGCTGCGTTTTGATTGACTAAAGACTCTTTGATTGACTAAGGTTAGACTTTACCAAACTGATATCAGTAACATAATAAGAGGTAGTACTATAAAAGTGTGGTAATAATCCATGGTCATTAACTGTCATTCTTTACGAAACTGATATCAGTCAACGTAAGTCATTCTTTACGAAACAACAGTTTATGACAACAATTTATGATTCTTTACGAACGTATTAACAGTCATTCTTTACGAAACTGATATCAGTCAAAGTAATAAGGGTTAATACAATAAAAGTGTTCTAATATCCTTACCAAATTATTTTTAAAAAATATTACTCCCGTAATGCAAATAATATTAGAAGTAATACATGGCGTCTTAATTAACTACAGTCGACATCAGTATGTCATCTGACGCAAGACGAATACTCATTCATCCTTTTGGATTCCAATCCGCGTAAAGCATAAATGTTTTCAGTTGCGTTTGTGACTTGGGTAGTCTGCCTCCATGGGTGGTGACCGTGATGAATAATTAGTTTTCTAGTTTGACGAGCCAGATTATTCATTTCTGCTTGCATCCATTTTGCAATTTCAAAGGTGTACTTGATTATCAGTTCCAGATAGGTATTAATACTTTAAATTCGATTAGAACTTGTTTTTGTGGAGCTATTTTGTCGAGGAGGACTTTTGTGGGCAGTATGATTTTTTGTGGGCAATATGTGAGACGTGCGGACGGGCTTAGGAGCTTGTAGGCTTTCTCCAAGAACATACCTTTTTTATTGTCTTTTTTAGAAGTTCGATATTCAAGGAGTTGATGACTCTAATTCTACTTCGAATTCTGGGAGTCAGGAAATTGCCTCTTCTGAAATCTATTAAAATTAAACACTCTTACTAAGTGTAGCAGCCACTCTAGCTTCGTTTCAGATTTTCCGGAAGTCTTGAGGGGATTCATGTAGAGGTGGTAGTACTTAGGCCTTGTCTCTCATATTATACACCCGAATCGGGTCTTTCATTGAACTGCTGTGATTGTGTTGTGTCTCACATTCCGTGTTAAGTAAAATGAGACGTTCAATTTTCGTGTTTTTTGCGTTTCTTTCATAGTTTTCTTCGCAATATTTCTTGTTACACTTACAATGGCTGTTTTCCATTCTTCGGTCAAATTGAATGGCCTGTCTCATAAGTGGGTCATCTTGATGATTGACTACATACTTTCCCATCCCAATCATTGCATTGTGCCAGGAAGCTTCAATTTTTCTGAGGCCTCTTCCTTCTTTCTTACGTGACACATGAAGTCCATGTACCTCAACTCGAATGTAGGCGACATGATGCATTGTTAGCAGTTTTCTGGTTTTTCAATCTATGATTCGAATTTTTTGCTCAGTCCAGTTCACTATTTCAAAATTGTACCCTGTGACAGGCATTGCCAAACTACCTATTGCATATATTTTAATCCTGGAATTGAGAGCGGTCTGCAAGACAGGTCTCACTCTCTGTAATTCTCCTAGCAAATTCTCTTTCATTGTATCGTTCGAGATTCTTCAATACCTCGATATTTGTACGCTTTACCTGACTCAAGATCTTGAATGACAGTGCATATCAAAATATTGTTATTGTTTTTACTATTACTATTATTATTACTATTATTATCATCATTATTAGATAAAACTCTTACGTTAAAGGCGGAATTTGATGTGCGGCAGGGCGACCTAATCCACATTGAGATTCCTAGAACAAACAAAAAATAATGTTGTCAAACTGAATAAAAAAACTTGTACGTATTTATGTAGGCACAGAATTACCTAACTGCTCTTTCAATTTTATCCAAAAGCCCTGTTGTTATGCATTTACACGAACACTGCCAGCTGGTCGGCACTACACGGAGCTGGGACTTGCACAGCGTATACCCCTGAAGTCAGAACGGAAGATAGTTTGGAGGACTTTCGGCAGTTGATTCCCAGTTATCCAGTGCTCTTCAAGATTCGAAACAAGTTACAAAGCAATAGTCGCCGAGGGCAGTAGGCAGTCGTGTTAAATAACTTTCCTTACCTGTGATCGTTTTGAAAGTTATCTGCAATTTCAGCCACGCCGAAATCTTTTCTCCCCTAAAAATGGCGGGAACGAGGCTGGGAGGACTGCCTATCTGCATCTGCATGGCGTGTGGCGGGGACGAGGCTGGGCGACCTGCCTACCTGCATCTGCATGGCGTGTGGCGGGGACGAGGCTGGGCGGTGGGGTGTGCGGGGCGGCGTCGCTCGCATTGGCAGAAGTTCGCCAGGCGGCAGGGCCTGTAGGCGCGCCTGCGAGAATGGGGAAGAATGGACCTTGCTCAAACAACAATTCATGTCCCATAACATTATTGCAAACAAACAGTTTCAGATCATTCTTTAATGGTTTCTTAATTGCCACGGAGAAATGAATTAAAAACAAAAGTGCAAATGTAGAATAATTTCAGAACAACTAGATGGGTAGTGTTTACTGTAGTAGCAATGAAAAATATTAAAATATAAAAAAGATCTATTTTCCACGATGTGACACTAATAAAAAATAAAATTCTTAGTTTTCTTTTTAAGAACTGATCAAATAATGAATTCTAATGATGAGATAAAAATATAATATCTTAACCCGCGGTGGACCAAGCATTTTTTAACGTGTTTGACCACATGATGCAAAGTATAACCACCACTAAATCCTTAAGTTTCAAATTCTAATTTAAACCAGTTTAATCGTGTGTATACTTAAAACTATAATATTACTTAGTAAACATTTTTTGGAATATATTTCTCCAAGCATTTGGTCGCATGAGGAGGTACTTCTGCTGACGCTTCTCAAAAGCCATGTGTGGACAGCACCAACCAAAAGTCTGCTGTGAGAGTCAATTACCTAGGTGAATTTATGAAAACTTTTAAAATGTGTTTTGTAACTCCACATCACACATGTTCAATCCATTAAATGTAGTGTTTAACGGTAAAAATTAGTTTTTTATTTATTTTTACGCGCAGTAGTCTGTCAGACTACGCCTTTCTAATAATTTGGATTTATTAATAATTCTGCAATTAATTTTGGGAACGTGGTGGCAGAATATACTAACTTAACATGACAGAACTTAACAACTTCACAAAATTTACAAACATTACAAATTAACGTCAACAATCTTTCATAGTACTCCACTACACCGCATTGCGAATCACCGAGTTGTAATGTCTTTCTTGTACACTCATTTCCCTCAGTTTCACAACGCCACTACACTGCACACAATTACTATTATTATTATTATTATTATTAATAATAATAATAATAATAATAATAATAATAATAATAATAATAATAATAATAATAATAGTTTATTACATGGAAGGCAGTTACTTACACTAAATAATATTAAATGTATTTATAACACACATATCAACATTCAAAAGACTAGTTTATCTATAAATTTGCTCAGGCTAGGCTTTGAAGAAAGGGATCGATGATTGTAACAGGCAAACCATTCCAGCCTCTAATAGCTCGATTCGCTAATGATTTTTTCCAACGTCCGTTTTCTGAATTGAATAATGCTTATTACAGGTTGCCTTTGTAAAGTAGGGTTAAAACAAACAACGCTTACCTGCAGGTGGTCTTCCAACTGCGGCGGAAGCTGAATCTCCTGCATCGCCCACTCCAGCATTTCGTTGGGGTTTTTGTAGGGCCGTGCGTCTATTTGCGCTTGTATTTGCGGCGGAAGCTGAATTTGCTCCATCGCGTACTCCATCAGCTGATTCGGATTCAACCTGGGAGCACGAAAAGGTTGTCCCTGTTTTCGAAGGTTTCTGAATTTTAATGTTCACAATCTCAAATTTGTGTGTAAAGTGAACTGGACGAGTTCCTTGAACGTAAGTGAATTTGGATAATATTACTCCGTCATTGGAGAGTTTTTGAATGGAATTTAATATCTGTTAACTAGTTTCTAAAGCGTAACTTTTTTTTAATTCGCAACATTGTTGCCTAAAATGTGATATTGAAAGGTTTTAGGGATCTATAAACATGAACGCATGAAAAGGTCAAAAAGTTTTACACTTAACAGCTACTATAAAATACAGTAATACTCTATATTATTAAGTCTTTTCTCCATTATCAATGATCAAGTAAAATGATAAGGGTTCGTAAAGAGAGTAGATTTAAATGCAAACGTTACTAATGATGGGGGGATTGAGAACCCCGAAACATGAATAGATGTAGACAAATTATTTTAAGGAAGATTATTTCTGTAATTTGTAATTCAACTTTTCACCATCTTCTTCTTAACATTGAATTGATCAAAAAATATCAAAAGCATTTGGTTATCATATCCTTTGGTGATGCGTTACACTATGAATCTTCGGCTTCAAAAAACTTATTGCAGACAACATGTACACATTCAAGGAAAACACTGAAAGAATGTTGTAGTTGTTTCAAATTTCCGTACTGTAGATACTCATTCATTACTAATCTTAGACATGGGCAGACGAGTGCAGCATTTTCAAATTTGGCGCCACTTTACATGCTCCGATTTTGGCTTCCATGTTCGCCCAAAGGCAATCAACTCATCATCATCTCATGTACATCATTTTAACCAATTTTTAGTCTCATTTGTCTCTTATTTGTGTCTTTTCTGACTGAGCAAATGTGGAATCTCATCATCACCATCATCATCATCATCATCATCATCACTATGATCATATTCTTCAGCAAGAGTTAGGACTCTCTAAGCTTTTACGGAAATGTTATCTAGCAAAGAGATATCTTTTTTTAGTCTTCCAGAATCACATTTGGTTTGGCGTATAATAAAACCGCTTCGACAATCTGCCACAGTTGATCCTTATCAGATGATCGAGATACATTTTTCTGTAGACTTGTAGTTCGTCTTACATGCTCTCTATACCCAATTCTTTTCTTGAGTCTTCATTACTCAATTGGATCATTAATGTTCAACTCTTGACGCGCCATATTCTTTGTTTTCTCAAGTTTCAATCCGGTAACCTGAGTTTAGGGAACAAGTCAGCTAACCTCCGTACCACTGGAACTAGATAGAGATATTTAGTTTACCAGTACCGGCAGTAGCGGATTTTCGACACTAGCTACAAAACTAGATCGAATTCAGCGACTGTCTGGAGCGGGCTGCTCTGATTGGTAAACTGTCAGATATTTCCGCTTTGCTTCAATGTAAATTACATTAAAGGAATTATCATAATTGCACATTAAATTTAATGTACGCGTGTACATAAGGATGCAAGAGTTAAAGCATTATGGTAATATCTGGAAGAAATTAATAAATGACCCTTCGTGATGCATTGTTGATTACTGATTTTGAATATACGCTAGGAATGATTAGAGATAGGAGAAACGGGAGAACCTCTCTATTAAATCTACATTGATTTTAACTCAGGCTTAGAGTTAATGCACAAATATATTAAGATCTTTTTAATGTATAATGTTACATTGATATTCATGTACAATAAATTAATCTACATTAGATTTGGTGACGTTTCTGACAGTGTTGTTTTCCGTGTTTTCTTCCATACCATTTGAAGTCCGAAGCAGTATTCAAAGAAACGGCCACGGACCGCGATTTTTATTTCTCCTTCCCTGTCATCCCCTGTGCCTTACACACACTCCACTACCACACATGATCCTATCCATCATTCAACCATGAAGCCCATCGATGATGGTAGACGGGTGGGGACGGTACCCTTGCGGGATGCTGGCCGGGTAGTAGGGTTCGATGGGCGTGGGCGGCACGGCGGGGCGGCAGCTGGGCAGCGGAGGCAGCGAGAACTCCGCACCGAGTGGCGGCATGCCGGGCGGCGGGTGGCGGGAAGAGATGTCCTCACCACTGCACGAAGGGGAATACGTCAATGGAAATATGTTTCGTACTACTTGAAGGAAACTACAGCTGTGAAATGCTGTGTATTCCACCTAAAAAAAAGTTGTTTTTCTGCAATTATTTTAGTCTTTTAAAAAACCCTAGCTGGGTCAATTGATTTGTTGTCAAAATGAATTAAATTATCTATTGGTCACCTTTGTTCTTACCTGAAAATCCTCTAAAAACGCTTTATATTTTTTTAACTTCCAAAACACGTTTGTTGGAGAATCCTCTTAGAACGTTCAAAAAGGAAATGAGTACGTCCGTGATTTTTGTTTCAGTTTCCCTAATGATACAGATGATCTCTGGTAATAAAAATGTTGTAAACGTATCTGCTATCCATATACCATTCAATTTACGTCCACTTGATAATTTAGTACATCATTAGAGTAATCATAACAGAGTGCGTCCATATCTTGTACGCTCATGTAATTCAATTTACTTCTATATTACATTTTATTGAAGTCATATCTGCACACATTTGTTTTGTACTTAACTTTTAATTTGATAATTTTTCTGTCATTATTATAATTTTGTTTGCAAATTTTCAGACCTGAAGATAGCAGTGTCAAATGCCAACAATCTCATCACTATAATTTGTTTAAATCACGCATTCCACCCGTGTTTCATTCATTCAGTTGCGTTAGCTGTCGAAATTGTACGAGCTGTTTCTGAATTTACTGAATATTATTGTAATCACTACATTTGCCTCTTGCATTCGTTCTTAAATTAAATCACAGATTATCTATAACCTTTGTTCCATTCGACTTGAAAATGCTTCAACAAAACTGTCAAATTCCTGCTATTTAATTGTCCAATGTTTAGTAAGCTAACTAACTTTTTTTAATAACTAGTGTATCTCATCTGTCTTCTGTTTGTCCATTTGCTTTATCTGTTTGTCAAAAGTTTTAGTCAGTGGTTCAATATAGGCGTGGCCTATAGCTCAATTGAAGATTTATGTAACGACTGTTTATTCTCAAACTATTTTACAGATTACCTATATGTATTTTATTCGGTGCCTCGCGGTCGACTTGGAAATGCGAGAGCGAAGCGAGTCATATTGGCCTATTTAGCTGGCGATTTTTTTCTACTAACAACTTTTTGAATCGCCGCCCATTACATGTATTATTTCACGCGTGTTCTATTGTCTATTCGCTTCATGTATTTGTCAAAAAGTTACTCGTGGCTAGGAGCTGAGCGTCAGCCATCGCACTTACTCGGTGAATTCTGCCACGACCTGTGCGCCCTCTCGCGTCATGATGTACGTGCGTCTGGTCTCCACCTTCTGCTCCAGCACGGCCATTGGTTGAGACACCTGCGCATGCGCACGGTGCGCCAATGGACGCGAACGCGCGCGCAGTCGCCGCCATTACCAGCCGGTCGGAAAAGTCGGTCCAAGAAGTAAAGTGAAAAGGTTCGATTGTGTGATTGAAAGTATGCCTGCGAGAGTGAAAGCTGTCATTAAGGCTATGTATGGGCACAATACCCTAATGAATTCCTGCATTTCCGATGGAGGGCGCCACAAACTGGTAAGTCATTTTCAGCCAGGTGTCTGGATCACATAATGTTGTTTTCCGATATAAACGACGAAAAATCTAATCTATGAATGGATTAAATAAGGGTGTGAGTGGTTTTTTTTTTTTTCTTCGAAGATTTTTTTATAGAATCGGAGCGCGTTGAATTCCAGTCATTATCTCATGTGACGGATGTTTAGGAACTTCGACTTCCATTTCCGGGAAGATATCAAATGTCCACCCGCGTCTTTCCTTGCTTATTTTCCCATTGCTTATTCTCACTCGCCCGCTGCTTATTTCTCTGAAATTTGCACTGTTTTCGAATGCAATATAGGCTGGTGACGGAGATGAAAAATTACAGCTTAAACGACATTTTGTTTCCAGAAGTAACCAGCTTTCCAGGCGATATAGGTAATGATTAATTTAGAAAATTAAGTCCCTTGGCGTCATTTAATTTCCCGGAAACACGTACAACGTTCAAATGCTATAAATGGGATGAGTCATTTCAAGTGGAAAAAATACCTCATCGCCTTCTCCGCATTCTGTTTCAAATGACGTAAGAAACTAACGTTTCTCGTGTCAGTTCACTGAGGATCACTTCGTTACTGCACAGCTGTTCCTTGACAAATTTTCTTCTTCTATAATGATCAGAATATTGTGTTTAATATGAGTCAAATCGCTGAAGATACTTCTTTGTATTGCCGTAGAAAAAATAGATTTTGAGGATACGAATGACGAAAAGTGCAAACTTGTGAATTGACATAACTGGAATGCATATCACCACAGTCCTTTATCGCGTAGGGGTGTGCGACCACGCCCGACCACAGCAACCGAGTATCAGAACTGCAGTTCACTCACTTCCCTCCAATAATGTACACTATGTGATCACAAGTATCAGGACGTGTGGCTGAAAATGACTTACCAGTTCGTGGCGCCCTTCGGTAATACTGGAATACAGTATGGTGTTGGCCTACCCTTAGCCTTGATGACAGCCTCCACTCTCACAGGCATACTTTCAATCAGATGCTGGAATGTTTCTTGGGGAATGGCAACCCATTCTTCACGGAGTGAAGAGGAGACTGAGGAGACGTATCGATGTAGGTTGGTGAGACCTGGCACGAAGTCGGCGTTCCAAAGCATCCCAAAGGGGTTATATAGAATTCAAGTCAGGACTCTGTGCAGGCCAGTCCATTACAGGGAAGTTATTGTCATGTAACCACTCCGCCACAGACCGTGCAGTATGAACAGGTGGTGGATCGTGAAATATGCAATCGCCATTCCCGAATCGCTCTTCAACAGTGGGAAGCAAGATGGTGTTTAAAACATTAACATAGGCGTGTATCACACAAAACAACAAGAGGGTCAAGCCCCCTCTATGAAAAACACGACCACACCATAACATTATATTGACTGTTTCCGGATACTTTTGATCACATAGTGTAAGTGATCTCTCCAAACTACAGCGCTTCGAGTCTTGGAAAGGCACACAACGTTTAGGAATCATACAGACAAAAATGAAATTGGAAAATAAAGGAAATATTTACTGTTAATATTATTAGAAGTATGCAGGTGAATTTTTCATCTAAAATGTATCCTTTTGAATAGAAAGCAAATTTGAAAATGATGTCAAAAATCCAATTTTCATTTGGCATAAAATTAATTTTCTAAAAATGTAATAAGCAAGTAATGCAAGTCAGGGCGACCGCTCATATTAGAGGCCTCTGAAGCAGGATTCATCCTCGAGGATTCATCCCAATTAAGGTGCGAGCAAGGGCAGAAAATCCACAGGCGCCTTGCCATACTTGCGGCAAGTTCAAGAACCCTGTCGGGCAATGTTAAACCACTCCGACAATTTCCCGTCCTAATGAGGTGTCACGTTTCCCAATTAGAGAGCTCGGGTATAGTTAAGTGAGACCACCCTATGGTGGAGAAATTTAGAATCAAAACCCAGGCGCTTCAGGGGACACGCACACGGGGTACGCTTGCTCGAAGAAGATAGCCTATATCTGCGCCGGGACTATGCTTCAAATGAAGTCAAGGTCGTATTCACGAGTGCGGAAGCGAGGCCTGCGGCGGTGTTCTCGCGAAATGACTCATTCTATAACATTAATAATAAATGAAGAGAAGTTTCTCTAAGAAGGGACTAGTTTGACAGGCAGGGACACAAATAAACGTCATGTCGGACGATCCCATTGCAAGAAGTAGTGTCGAACTTTAAAAATGTGAGCCAACATCAAACGGATTGAGAGAAAACTGATCGCGTAGATATTAGCTGCAACTATTTTGCCAGCTGAGGTCAAGCAGAAGCTGTGAAAGCGATCCTTTCGTAATCTCTCTGTACAGAAGCTTCTATAAAAGTATATGTACCAGAAATATGAGTGTATTGCATCAGAAGTAGTGTGGCTATTCAGTGAAAAAGTGGGATCCACGGAGTCCAATGAACTTAAATTACTACTTATATTTGCTGACTCTGAGGTTTCAGCGCCCCTTGGAGAAACAGAGTATTTTAGTATTCCGTTTGGCGCTGGTAAAAACAGGGTGGACGCGGGCCGCGAGTAATATAAATCATCTTCCTCAGTTTCACGGCCAAAAATCAATCATTTAAAACCGAAATCACAATATGTAAAGAGAACGAATTGAGAAACTTTGCTTGCTGTATCGGTTATTGTCATAAGAGTGGAAGTTGTGGAAATGTTATTGTAGTTAGCATAATGCCTGAAAGTGAATGTAATTACAATAAGAAGCAAACAAACAGATCACAAATAATGCACCAAACTTCAAATATGTTATATTTCTGAATTGATGACTTCAACTTGTACATTTAAATGCCGATCATATGGAATAGAATGTGAATATTATTATTCTAACCACTAATATAGTTTATAACGAGAAGACAACATTGTAGAAATATCATCTAAAATAAACAACTCGTCTTATCAGTACAACAGTTCTATACGCCACCATCACGTACCTCTCATGTTTTGACTGCGAAAAAACAAACAAACACGGCGGCCCCTAGTTCGGCAAGCGTCCACCAGGAGCGCTGAAGTCGTTCTATAGTAGTTTATTCTAGCGCGTTGGTTTATTGCATAAGAAGTAGCGGAGGTATTGAAGGAGTAAATGCGCCGCTTACCGCCCTGCGCTGCGGCGAGAAGTTGCGCCTCTTGATGGGCGGCCCCGGTCGCTTCGGCACTGCCCCCTGCGACACTCCCAGTGAAGTAGTCTGCCCTCGCCGCGGACGAGCCGTCTTCCCTGCGTCCAGATTACCGTCTTTATCATTGCGTTCCCTTTAAACGTTTATGGACCCTTCTTTTGCAGTCTTAGAAATAAAATGTTTTTTCTCTCTCTCTCCAACGTAATGTTTGCATGTTAATATCAGTAATTTAATATACGACTAATAGTACAGTGCGCTAGGAAATCTCCACGCAGTGGCAACTGAAGTCGACTGCGCACCACTGAAAGAACCGCCGGAACCTAGTACCGTCGCCGCTCAGAAGAGGGCGATGACGTCAGCCGCCGCGGCGCCGTCACGCGCGATCAGGCACCGACAAAGGAGGCACCGCCCCTATCCGGGGGCTGGCCAGCGGACCCTCAGCTCCTGCGGGCTATGAAGCAGCGCTCCGGCGGGCAGAGGGCAGTTGAGCGCCTACCAGCCGTATCGAGTGCATCAGTGGATTGTGAACAGTATTAAATGAAGAGCAAAGTGTACGGACTCTCTCTCGGACAGATACTTTGGTGCTACGGCTACTAACTTCGGACATCTCCCTGGGCAACGGTGACTTTGGCATACACTGGTACATCTTCAGGAAAATGATTGGATCTGGCTTGTATATAGTTACTCTGTACTGATGTGAGATCAGAATAAATCTATTTTTTTAAGAAATTACGTTTTTTTTTACATAACAGCACCAGGGTTTGATGAGAGTGTTAGTAACAGAAATTATGTTGGTAGGACAAGATTGTAGCAACAAAAAAAGTAAATTGCTTATTCACCAGAATCATTACCGATGGTGAAAGTATTGTCCCTCTCACTTATTACCTAGAGATCTGGCTGCTACCAACATGAATGCAATTTTTATTAGTAGCCCCTGATTCGGCTCTTGCGGAGAGACTTTCCGGGCACACTGTATTAGTATGTTAGTATTAGTACAAGTTGGGATCCATGATAAGGTTAGTATGCCAAAAACAGGTTAATGTCAGGCCTTATGGACTGAGTCTCGCCAGTGAATAATGTAAATGTATTATTATTTGCATGCACCCTGCATTTACCGTGGCTCAGTATCATTATCGCGGTGGCAGGTGCATGTAACTTTAATTGGTGACCGGCATTAATCCGAGTTTTATCCCCCAGGGTTGTTAGTCCTGGCGGCATTGAAGATGAAATGATGATGTTAATAAGGGGTGAAATTACGACACACTCATACAGACATACACATATACACCTATGCCCGGGGAGGGACTCGTACCCACGATCTTCTGGTCCGAAACCACTACGACACTACTGCCTTAGCGATCTTCGCCATCTGATCTGCATTTTTATTATTATTATTATTATTATTATTATTATTATTATTATTATTATTATTATTATTATTACGATTATTATTAACATCATCATTATCCTTCATGTCGATGAGAACCAATACTCACACCACCATTATTTTTTTCCTGATTAGCGTTTTGTCTGGATTTCCCTCAATCGCTTTGTCTCCCTTCTTGCATTTTCAGAAGTAAATATAATATATCCTTACCCTTCTCTCATTTAATATTTGTAAATAGCACATGTTGC